CAGCCATAGCTCTTCAGCTGACTCTTTACTCTTTGGAGAGAAGAGTACCTTGCATCTCTCCGCTAATGAATTGATGCTCTAATGCCAAATCCCGAGAATCTTGAAGCTAGTGGAGCCTCGCATTTACAGGTGAGTAAACGGTGATCGATCCCACAACGTAAATGTGCCGTCACCATCCCAGGATCGGATGTGACCTGTAAGCAATTAGGCCATGGGTGAACTACCTCACAGGCTCACACGAACCAGCATTGCTGCTAGCAAGCTCACTGTCTGTCCCAACAGTCAAAAAGGAGCTCCAGCCCCGACTGCTGGACGTTTCGACCATCGTATAACCAATTACATACGCTAGATGTTCAGGGAACGATCCAGCCCAATCATCCAACCCACAAGGGTGACCAGGCTCCCCGTTTGGCTACCAAAGACTGACATCGACGGCCCCATAATTTTCGGACCAAGATGTCCTACCCCTCGCAAATCCAAGGTTGCGAGGATAACTGGCTGTAATAGTCCCCGGCCCGACTTGAGCTAGCCTCATACCATTTCGGATCCGAATCCAAGATATCTCGAGTGCATGAGATAGTTTTATGCAGCCTCATCGGGCTCTAATTGATGAAGCTGCTTTCGAGACAACTCCTCCTCGCTGTTTACACAAGCGCACTCACCGTCGCAAATCGAATTGAGCGAGCCCGGGCATTTCGTCAACACGTCGTTCTTTCTAACCAGCATGGAGTAACCAAGAGGATTCGAAACTGGAGCAGCCTCATCGCCGAGACTCATCTTTTCACTGTAGCAACGAAGGACTTATTCGACTGTGTGCACGATGCTTCCATCTTTCCTTCCTTCCAAGTTCCGGCGCCGTTGCGTCCTGCCTTCTGGGTAGAAAGCTCGGACCAGGGCCGACATTGACGTCGGGTGACTGCCGCCCCACTCCGGTCAGCCCAGTTGGCAGTTGCAGCTTACCCCGGTTGCGCTTGATCTGCGCCTGCCCGCGTCGCCGTCTGCGCTCAGACACTGCTCCTCGACGCGACTTCCTGCGCGACAGAGCACCAAAGCTCTCTGCATTCTGCCTCGTTTCGCGCCAAATGTATCTGTGAATCAATTACCGATAAACGCCAACGCTCAATTGCACCATTGAATTCCTTCAAACTCGCGAATCTTGCAAGCATGGCTCCTTCGGACAAGGAGATCGAGGCGACGATTCTCGCAAAAGTCCGCGAGGTCTTTAAGACAGATATCGACAGCCTCAACGTGAACTCCGTTCGAAGGCGCGTCGAATCCGACCTCGGGCTCGAAGATGAGGTGCTCTCTTCAGGGAAATGGAAGGATAAGAGCAAAAAGTTGATCAAGGAGCTCGCTGTAATTGCCCAACCCCTCCCTGGCACTGGCACGGCCATCGTCAGTATTAGTGAAGGCCGACTTCCTGACATCACACCAGACCAACCTCGTGGAGGGTAATGCGGACCCCGATGATGAAGCCGAATCTGAGCAAGACGAGAAAGATGCGAAGCCGAAGAAAGCTGGCAAGCGTCAAGCTGCCGAAAAGTCACCACCTGCGAAGCGCAGAAAGCGCGCATCTGCTAAAGTAGAAGAGTCCGATGCGAGCGCTTCTGAGGAGGAGAAGCCAAAACCTAAGCCGAAACCGAAAAACAAGGCAGCGCCGCGGAAGAAGAAGGAGGACACTCCTGTGATCGACTCCGAATCTGACGAAGCGAGCCCTGCCAAGCCGAAGGCGTCTAAGCCCACCAACGGACGTGCGAGCAAGGTTGAAGATAGTGGTTCAGACGCGTTGAGCTCCCCTCCTGACAGCGAGGACGAGAAGGCTGAGAATAAGGAGGGAAAACCACAAGAAGAGAAGGTTGAGGCAAAGAAGGATGATGAGTCGACCGAGAAGCAGCCTGAAGCTTCCGACGACAAGAAAGTCGAGGTTCCAGCCGATGACACGACTAGCGAGCTATCAGACGTGATAGACGAGCCACCCAAGCCCAAACGCAGGAAGAAGGAAGCCGGAGCTGGCAGCAAGACCAAGGCCAAGGCGACCAAGCAGAAGAAGGCACCGGCAGCCCCGGAGAACCCCGACGATGCAGAGATTAAAAAGCTACAGTCCCACTTGGTTAAATGCGGTATTCGCAAGATCTGGGGCTTTGAGTTGAAGCAATACGGAGACGATACCAAGGCCAAGATGAGGCACCTCAGAGACATGCTCAAAGACATTGGCATGGATGGTCGTTTTTCAGAAGCGAAGGCAAAAGAGATCAAGGAGCGAAGAGAACTGGAAGCGGACTTGGAAGCAGTTCAGGAGATGAACGCCAACTGGGGCGTAGAAGGCAGATCATCTCGAAGTAAGGCGCGCGGACAGACAGCCCCCAAGAAGACTGTGAAGGATGATGCTTCTGAAGATGAGAACGCCAAAGACAACGATGATGATGATGATGAGGATCAAGAGTCACACATCCCGTCGCGGGCACGTGGCAAGGCGAGAGCGGACCTGGCGTTCCTCGGCGACGACGACGAAGAATCGGACTGATGTAACGAATACTGGGACATTGTATCATGAGTCGGCGGGTCATTGTTCGAATCATTGTACTTGTTGCAGGCTGTATCATACACACCATGGGAGAGTGAGGACTCTTTATTTTTGTGGCGCTACATCGCGGAGTGTCGCCCGAAGAGGACAAGGGGTCACCAAAAGGCTGTACACGATCGTAATGCACTAATTTTTGGACCTGGGTGGGTTTCTCACTGATTCGGGACAATTGACAAGTTGTTCACCCACTCACAGCTCGCGGATGGAAGCAGATTCTTAAACTCAGTCTTAGTCTTTTACCCAGCTGAAGCGGGCCTCTCAAGTGACTTTTGTCTCTATCCGCCATCCGCCGACACCCTTCTGGTCCTCTCGGGACTTGGCAACTTGGATCCATCGTTTCCCCAAAAAGCCGGAGACGTGAAGACCAGGCGCAGAGCTGCTCGTGTTCTTTAGACGCGCCAGTTAGACAACAGCATGGCCGCTCGAAATGGGGCTAGGAACCTCCTGGTTCGGTGTTGAGGAGTGAGAGCACCGGCCAAACAGAGGGGAAAAGGGTGAATGCTCCCCATGTCACGCACCAGCTACGTCTCTTGTGTCTCCAATTTACCCCGCCGCGGGCGTGCGTCCCCCCCGCAGACGCCGTCATTTCTCTTCAACCGTTTCCCCCCTCCATCCTCGCCCAAACACCCCACTACATCGGTCAACAAGCGCAGATACAAGCAATAATAGCCTGAATTGCATGTTTCGCCATGTCAACCAGTGACGGGACTCTTGTCGCGCTCCATAAAGGGTCGCTTTGCCCATGTCCAAAATACCTACAGCCTGCGTGATTTCAGGTTTTCTGTCGTAACTCACCTTGGACTGAGAATTCCGTGATTCAAATCTTCGATCGATTATCCCCATCACTAAAGCCCGTTTCTAAAATAAAGGCCACAACCTTTCACACAATGTCCGACGCCACCTTCGAGTTCCTGCCCCTGGGCGCCATCCTGCAGTCCTTCAAGGTCAAGGGCGTCAACATTGTCCAGGGCTTCCCGACCCAGCAGCTCTACGAGAAGCACAACTCACCCTACTTTGGCGTCACCGTCGGCCGCGTCGCGAACCGCCTCGCCTCGGCGCAGATAAAGTCCCTCAACGGAGGGAAGACGTACAAGCTCGCGGCCAACGACGGCAACAACAACCTCCACGGTGGCAGCAAGCCCTGGAGCTCCAAGGTCTGGGAGGGCCCCAAGCCCGTCGGTGTCCGTGAGATCCCGGGCGTCGAGGGCCTGCAGGGCGGCGAGAGCGTCGAGTTTTCGTTGACTAGCGAGGACGGCGACGAAGGGTTCCCTGGTAAAGTCCAGGTGAAGGTTATCTACACGGCCGGAACGCAGAAGGTGGATGGCAAGGAGGTCTCGGTGCTGGGCATGGAGTACGAGGCGCAGCTTGTCGACGGCGCTGAGGAGACGGCTATCAACATGACGAATCACTCGTACTTTAACCTCACAGGCGACGAGACGTTCGCAGGCACCGTCGCGACACTGGCGACGAACGCGTACCTTCCCCGCGAGGACGGTATCCCTACCGGTGGGCCTGCTCCCTTCCCCGGCATTGAGGGCGGCAAGCCGTTTGAGCTCGGTGTCGAGGCTCCCGCTGTGGACGACTGCTTTGTTGTCGTCGAGGAGAAGGAGGCGGGCGCGGTGCCGATTGATACGCGCAAGGCACCTCTGAAGCTGCATGTGCATGCCAAGCATCCCAAGAACGGGGTCAACCTCGAGGTGCTCAGCACGGAGCCGGCGTTCCAGTTTTACACGGGGGAGGGGATTGATGTTCCTGCCGTGGAGGGCGCCGCGGCGAGGGGCAAGAGGAGCGGATTCTGCGTTGAGCCGAGTCGGTGGGTGAATGCGATTAATGTGGATGAGTGGAAGGGGCAGATGTTGTTGAAGAAGGGGGAGACGTATGGAACGAGGATTGTGTATAAGGCTTGGAGCGAGTAAGAGGGACTTGAGGTTATATTTTGGAAGATCAGTTGTGAGGGTGATATCTATGAGTACAATGATAATGAGCTCTCTTGTAACTGGAACCTATATTATGTGACTTGGCTTTTGGCTTTGCAAGTCGGTGATTAGAGCTTCACCTCTCCCGTGTCTCGACAGACCGTTTACTTGGACGTCAAGGATGGACACGCCCCCATTTCAGAGTATTAAACCACCGCACTGTAGCTCACGGACTTGAACTCCAAAGCGGTCTATTTTCGTGTGACAGCCGCGATGTACGTGTGCCTGTTAGGTGTTGTGTGTTCTTCCAATAAAACACAATTCCAGCCTTGAGACTAGAGTAGGCATCCCTCAGACATTTTGAGAGATGCTTCAAGCTTCGAGCGTCTGGGGATATATGTCAGCCAGCAGCGTCCGTGCAACTTGGAAACGAGCCGATTTGATTGATTCTTCTGACGAAGCTGGAGGTGATGAAAAGATGAGATGAAAACGAGAGAGGTTCCTTACGGCACACGCAGCTCACCGAGGGGCTCTAGCTTTATTTTAGCGTGGTGTGTTTAGCCTATCGTGCCAACGTAAAGTAACGGCAAGAGCGAAGTAGATGGGCCAGGCTCTTTCCAGGTTTGGTACAAGTTTGCACTGAGGGAAAGGAAGGACCAGCCCAGATCCAAAGGGTAACTGCCGGACCTGCCTTCAAGACTAAGGTAATTCAATCACTTGACCAAGTTAGAGCCTTTTCTTCAACAACCACCCAAACTACATCCTCTTCTTGACCACCACTGAGACACGATACCCGGATTCCTCGCGAAGTAAAACTTACAACTTCCACTTAACGGCGACAACATACTTCCAATCGATAATTACGCTCTGTCGCCTTATTGCACCGTCGACTCATTCCTATTTGCCAACGATTTCCCGAACGAGTCAGATAACCTACCTAAATCAGCCCACCATTCACCGCATAGGTGCGGCGCTATCCGTACCTATACCACACAAAACCATGGCCGACTCCTTCCCAACCCCGACGACGACCCCGAAGCGCAAGAGGGACGAAGACGACCAGCCGCTGTCACCGATATACACAGCCTCCAAATTCTCCTTCCAGCTGCCTGTTGACCACACTCCCAAGGGCAGCGATGTGGAGGACGGCAGCGCAAGCCCTCACAGCAAGGTGGTTCACAAGTTCCGTGGTCTGGCGCTGAGTGGGAATAGTGGTGGGGGCGGGGTAGCCCAGCAACAGAACCGAGCCGCCGCCGCCGCTGCTGCTGCCCCCCAGGGCCTATATGCACACGGCGCCGCATACGACCCGACGCGCGACGAGCACAAGAACGGCAGGGGATACGGATACTCTGACGACGACCCATTTGCGAGCCGTAAGAGACTCAAGGTTCCTGAGCTGGAGATGACGGACGTTGAGGGCAACAACACCGCTGTCGCTACCGCTTCAGCTACCGCAGACATACCAGTTGTCATTCCGGACCCCGACGTCAAGAGCGATCCGGTAGCTACCCCGAAATCGAAGCCTGTAGTAAAAGACGCTGCCACTACTGCCGGCGCAACAGTCGCCACGAGCTCACAACAGCTTCCATATCCTTCGCTCGACAAACTACAAGATCCAAAATCTCGAGGACGGAGACGCGCCGGCACACCACCGCTCAAGGGTCGCAAGGGCACCAACAAGACCAATGCCGCTGCAGCAGCCTCGGCCGCTGGACCGCAGCAACAACAAGAAGACCAGGAGATGAAGACGATTGTGGACCCAGTCAGGGCTGCACTCACCTGGAAGGAGGAAGAGATTACGATTTACGACCCAGAAGACGACGACGATGACGGCACGGGCATTAACGGGGTCGGATTCATGCCCACTGCCGCAATGGCCTATGCGCGGACGCAGAAGCGCCGGCTGCAGCTGGCCGAGTACAAGAAGCGGGAGGAGAGCGAGGCCAGGGCCCGACGCAGCCAGCGGAGACGAGGCAGCGGTGCTGGTCTTGCTTCCAAGCCTTCTGCTGGCGGCAGCGGAGGCGTGCGAAAGGTGCGCTTCACGGAATCAGAAGCGAGCACAGTTGTGACCAACGTCTAAGGATGGTCACATGATGGGTGCGAGCAGTGAATTTTGCGATTGGACATGGCATCATTGAGCCCTGTGGTTTGGCTTGGGTATGGCCCGGCTGAGGAAATGGCCACGGAAGGTGTCATATGGCGTTAGGGAAATAGGGGCGTTTATGAGCCACATGGTTGCGTCTATTTACGAATGGACTTTTTCTGGATTGCGGGTTGTCTGTCAATTGATGACCAGCATGGTTATCCTCTTCACATCACGCAGTACAAAGACAAGGACGGGAATGATGGGGCAAGGGAAGCAAGGAAGGGTGGCTGGAACGATGCAAATAGTCTTTCTTTTATACCCCCAAACTCGAATGGATGATGATACAGTTATTTTCACAAGTCGGCATCGCGGGCCAAAGCCACTCGCAGATGCTTCTTTAGGACTTTGTGTGAAATTATTCATACAAGAGGACCGGCAGAAAACATAGTCTCAAGGGCGCTCTTCTTTGAGAGACCAGAAGTCTTGATCCCCCCTCAACAGATTTTCTTTTTACCAAAACTTGTACCAAGACTTTTGGCTGGCAGCCTTTGCCTCCTCATCTGCCTTTCTCTGCTCGGCCTGCTGCTTGAGCTGCTCAATCTCGCGGCGGCGCTTGTCGACCATGGTCTCCTGGTAGACCTCGACGGTCCTCTTCATCTTGACGCGCTCCTGTCGGCGCTTCATCTGGCAGTACTCGTAGGAGCCGATGCAGCCGACGAGGAAGCTGCCTACGGCCCAGTTTGCCGCTCTGATGGGTGAGCCTGCGCAAGGTTTAGTGTGGTGCTCTTATTGTGAAGGTGATGAGGATGAGAATGAGGGTGAGGGTGAGTGAGAAAAGGGGATGTGGATGAGTGTGAAGGTGAGGTGATCTGAGAGGAAATCTCATATTGAGGTAGAAGACAGATAAAAAGGGGGGATTACCTCCAAAGACATATCTAAATCCTCCCACACCAGCACCGCTGGCAATACCAGTAAGAAACCCGTCCCGCGCGCACGGCGTCTGCGTGACGGAGAGGAAGTCGTCCGACTTGATGGACTTGACGGCCTCGCCTATGGACGGGTATCCGGGGCTATTGGCGCCATCTTGCGTCGGGAAGTTTTTCTGGAACTCGGTCGGGTTGAGCTTGGGGTCGGCGGCCGATTGCTCCGGTGATGTTGGTGATGCCGTCGTCGTTGTAGGCGTAGTGCCCGGAGCTCCCTCTCCGACTGGACCTTGGTTTGAACGGGACCAGAGGTATAGCTTCTGTCCCTCCTTCTTTGGTCCCGGGATGTTGTCTGGTGAGTCTGCCATTATGTGATGAGTCTAGATTATATGTGTGGGTGAGATTGGGCGCATCCGGTGATAGGTTCTCGTGAATCCCGACTCTCGACTTTCGGTCCCCCGGTAAAGCTCTCTCTCTCTCAAAGTCTGCCCGTGGCCTGAGATGACGTCCACCGAATTTGGGCCCTCCCCGTCGACGGTTCGTTGCTGGGCCGGCGCTTTTGGTCCGTGCGTTCAACTTCCCCTGTAGCGCATCAGTCGCGGGACGCTGCTGGCTTAATTGAAGTGGGTCCCCCTCCTGTTCTGGCCTGCAGAACGTGCAGATTTCGCGTAAAGTCGCGACGGGGAAGACGCGTCTGGGTATCCTTTTTGCCCTGGACAACGAGTAATTGGATAGTGGCCCTCCACTCCCCAAATGCGCAAAAGCTCAATGCTCTCGTTCTCGAACACAATAGTGACAAATCCCACTCTCCCACTCGTCCAATTCCTTGGATCTTCAATACCCCATTTTCTCCCGGTTGTTCTTGTTTCTTGTCACCAAGACTTGCCTTTTTTTTGTTGGCACTTGGCAGAGACAGAGAGCCAGCCTTCTTGATACCCACCTCCAGTCTCTCATTCTCGGAAACCCCCTCTATTACGAAGCTAGACATTAGTCTCTCTCAGTATCCCGTCTCATGATTCTCTAGAGGCTGCGATTTCCTCGAGAGACCTCCTTTGCCTAGAGCCCCTCGACGGAGATCTACATTGGTCATCAACAACCTCGACCACACAACAATCACAATGCCCAACACAAGCTTGCGGCGCCCGCAAAAGGGCTACCGCCGCGGCGGCAAGCAAGCATACCATGGCCCGTCACGAGGACCACGCACATTCGCCGCCTCGAACCGCAACGAAGCCACCTCAGCCGACGAGAAGTGGGAGCGCACCCGCCTAGCGCACCAGATTGACGAGAACATGGGCTTCGCGCGCTACGAGGGCGGCAAGCGCAAAGAGGGCTGGCTCGTCAACGTGCAGCCCACTTCGGTCGAGGACGATCGGAACCCCAACGGCCGGGCGGCGCTTGACTGCTACTTTATCGAGGACGACGGCGCGCACTTCAAGGCGACGGTTGAGTACGACCCGTACTTTTTGATCGCCGTCAAAAAGGGCCGCGAGAGCGAGGTTGAGGAGTGGCTGAAGCGTGTGCCGGGCGGCGGCGTCGTCAAGACGATTAAGAGGGTGGACAAGGAGGATTTGAAGATGCCGAACCACCTGCTGGGATACCGCCGCACGTTTCTGGAGCTGAGGTTTGCCGATGTGGCCGATTTGATGGCGGCGAGGAAGGATATTATGCCCATTGCGGCGAAGAACAGGAAGAATGTGGATGCTTTGGACGCATATGCTGAGGTTTCAACGTACGTCTTGCGGTGCTGCGAGGGTTATGAGATGGCTGACTGACACACTACAGGATGAATGGCGACTTTGACCTTTTTGACGATTCACGAGATGACGATAGACGAACGAATGCTTCTTTTGCCGACGCTAGCGACTTCATTGTCGATATTAGAGAGTACGATGTACCGTACCATGTAAGAGTAATGATAGATTTGGGTAGGTTGGGTCCTCGGCGCTCCCGGACCGATCACGACTGACCCTTTACAGATATCCGGGTGGGAAAATGGTACTTCATCGACGTCAAGCATGGCGTCACAAAAGTCACGACCAACGAGGACCGACTGGCCATGGCAGACCCGGTAGTCATGGCCTACGATATCGAGACGACGAAACTGCCCCTCAAATTCCCCGACGCCGCCATCGACCAGGTCATGATGATTTCGTACATGATTGATGGGCAGGGTTTCCTGATCACAAACAGAGAAATCATCTCCGAGGACATTGGCGACTTTGACTACACCCCCAAACCGGAGTACCCAGGACCCTTTATGATTTTCAACGAGCCGGACGAGAAGGCCGTACTGGAGAGATTCTTCCTGCACATCAAGGAGGCCAGGCCGACAGTCATTGCGACCTACAACGGTGACTTTTTCGATTGGCCCTTTGTCGACGCCCGAGCTAGCATCAACGGTATCGACATGTACCAGGAGATTGGCTGGAAGAAGGACAGCGAGGACCAGTACAAGTGCAGCTACAGCGTGCACATGGATTGTTTCCACTGGGTGAACCGTGACTCCTACTTGCCTCAGGGATCCCGAGGTCTGAAAGCTGTCACCGTCGCCAAGCTTGGATACGACCCCGACGAGCTCGACCCCGAACTCATGACGCCCTACGCCCAGGAACGCCCCCAGACTCTGGCCGAGTACTCAGTGTCCGATGCCGTGGCGACATACTACCTGTACATGAAATACGTCCACCCCTTCATCTTCTCTCTCTGCACGATTTTGCCTCTTGGTGGTGACGACACGCTACGAAAGGGTACCGGTACACTTTGCGAGATGTTGTTAATGGTGCAGGCCTACCAGCAGGAGATTGTGTTACCAAACAAGCATGTATCGCCAAGAGAAGCATTCTACGAAGGACACTTGCTTGACTCAGAGACGTATGTCGGTGGCCACGTCGAGAGTATCGAAGCAGGTGTCTTCCGTGCCGATATCCCCGTCAATTTTGCAGTCGACACGGGTGCAGTCGATGAGCTGTTGAAGGATTTGGACGCCGCGCTTAAATTCAGTATCACAGTGGAGGAGCAAAAGTCCATGGACGACATCGAAAATTACGACGAGATCAGGGAGCAAATTGCTTCACGGTTACGCGCACTGAAAGAGACGCCGAACCGGAGCGAACGACCCCTGATCTACCATCTCGACGTTGCGTCCATGTACCCCAACATCATGACCACGAATCGTCTGCAGCCAGACTCCATGATCCAAGAGTCGGATTGTGCGGCGTGCGACTTCAACCGCCCCGGCAAGACCTGCGATAGACGTATGCCGTGGGCATGGAGAGGAGAGTACCTGCCGGCAAAACGCGACGAGTATAATATGATCAGGAACGCCCTGGAAAATGAAAAGTTCCCCGGCAAGTGGCCGAATTCGCCACAGCGGACGTTCCAGGATTTGTCGCCTGACGAGCAGACGGCTCTCCTGCGGAAGCGGTTGCAAATCTTCTCGCAAAAGGTCTACCACAAGATCCACGACTCGACGACGACTGTCAAAGAGGCCATTATCTGCCAGCGGGAGAACCCGTTCTACATCAACACCGTACGAGACTTCCGTGATCGTCGATATGATTACAAGGGCAAGGCCAAGGTCTGGAAGGGCAAGACGGAAGCCCTGAAGTCCTCTGGCGCAACATCCACTGAAGTCGATGCGGCGAAGAAGATGATTATTCTCTTCGACTCGCTGCAGCTTGCCCACAAGGTCATTTTGAACTCCTTCTATGGCTACGTTATGAGAAAGGGATCAAGATGGTATTCCATGGAAATGGCTGGCGTTACGTGTCTGACGGGAGCGACGATTATTCAGCTGGCCAGATCACTCGTTGAGCGATTGGGTCGTCCCTTGGAATTGGACACGGATGGTATCTGGTGTATGCTTCCCGCTACGTTCCCGGAAAATTTCGCTTTCAAGACCAAGGGCGGCAAGAAGGTCACCATCTCGTACCCCTGCACCATGTTGAACCATCTGGTTCACGCCAAGTTCACCAACCACCAGTACCAAACGCTCACAGACCCCAAGACGTTGAAGTACGAGACACACAGCGACAACTCCATCTTCTTCGAAGTCGACGGCCCTTACAAGGCCATGGTCTTGCCCACATCCAAGGAAGAGGACAAGAACTTGAAGAAGCGTTACGCAGTCTTCAACGACGATGGCAGCTTGGCCGAGTTGAAGGGTTTCGAGGTGAAGCGCAGAGGTGAGCTGAAGCTCATCAAGATCTTCCAGCAGCAAATCTTCAAGTTCTTCCTGGAAGGAGAAACTCTCGCCGAGTGCTATGCCGCCGTTGCCAAGGTTGCCAATCAATGGCTGGATGTATTGCACAGCAAAGGTGCAACACTGGCGGACGAGGAACTCATGGAGCTTATTTCGGAGAACAGGAGCATGTCCAAAACTTTGGAGGAGTATGGTTCGCAAAAGTCGACATCCATCACCACGGCGAAGCGTCTTGCAGACTTCTTGGGTGAGCAGATGGTCAAGGACAAGGGCTTGAACTGCAAGTTCATTATCTGCGCTAGACCCAAGCATGCACCCGTCACCGAGCGAGCCGTGCCGGTTGCTATCTTCTCTGCCGAGGAGACGACGAAGCGTTTCTACCTCAAGAAGTGGCTCAAGGAGGAGCCGGCCGATACTGACCCGAGAGCTCTTTTGGACTGGGACTACTACTTGGAGCGTCTGGGTTCCGTCATTCAGAAGCTCATTACCATTCCTGCTGCGCTCCAGAAAGTCAGAAACCCGGTTCCTCGCGTAGCTCACCCCGACTGGCTTCAGCGCAGGATCAACATCAAGGACGATAAGATGAAGCAGAAGAAGCTCACAGATCTCTTCACCAAGGGGCCCTTGGAAGACATCACCAACCGCAACGGTCGGTCCGCAACCGACATGGAGGACTTTGGCACGCAGCTGCTCAAGCCAAAGCCGGTCACGTCTGTGGTAGCCGCTTCGCAGCCTACTGCCCAGAAGAGAAAGTCTCCCGAGGCTGCCGAGACCGCCGACCCCTTTGCCGCACTGCCCACGGTCATGCCCTCACCTTCAGACGACTACATCGGCTTCTTGCAATACCAGAAGCAGAAGTGGAAGATTCAAAAGCAAGCTCGCATCCGAAGACGACAGCTGTTCGGAGACCGTCGCGGCAACAACCAGAACAACATTCAAAATACGTTCATGAAGCAAGCCCACATGACCTACATGAGCAACTGGCAGCTATTGCACCTAAAGCCGACAGAGACCCCGGGAATCGTCAATGCTCACGTCCTCATTGACGCCAAGATCCACTCGCTCAAGGTGAAGGTGCCGCGACAGGTTTTCTTGAACTTGAGAAGCGGCGAGATGCCCGATGTGGACATCCCTGGCTGCGAGGTCGAGCAGGTCAACCACACACTTCCCAACGGCCACTCTTCCGTTCACCTCTTCAAGCTGACTGTTCCTGAGGACGTCTACTTCAATGAGGCGGACAAATTCTCGCTGCTGTTTAACCACCCCAGCGTCGAAGGCGTGTACGAGAAGCATTTGCCGCTGAACATCAGGGCTGTGCTTCAGTTGGGCAATCTTTGCACCATTGACGAACAGCAACATGCAGTCCTCGGAAGGGGCCTAGAACAAGGCTTCGATTTGCATGGTCTGAAGCGTCCCGTCAAGGCCAAGACTTATCTTGAGACGTCACCCTTGGCATACATCTACGTCTCTCACGTCACCGCTGGCGACAAGCAGATATTCGGAGTATTTTCCACGTTGAAGGACGAGGCGCATGTCATTATCCTGCAAAAGGGAAGAGACTCAGGCCAGGACCTCCCCAACATCTCCCGAATATACACCGAGCTGCTTGCTCGACGAGGGGAAGAGGCCGAGGGCACAAACTGGCAGGATTGCTTTACGTACCAGGAGAAGCTGAACTTCAAAATCACTCAGGTCACGACGAGGCGAAAGGCGCACTTGGAACTCAGCGACGTCGTGAAGAAGATGAGAAAGGACGAGCTGCGACCACTCATGATGGTCATCCAATCGTCACAGCGCAACATGCTCATCAACGACGTACCCATCCTCGGCGAATTCCCTGTGCTGCCGCTCAAGTACGATGCGGCGGATAGCTCTCTGCCGCCTCTTGGCTGGCAAGCAGTCGTGGCGAGACGGCTTGTCGGGCACTATCTTGGTCTTGGCTCCTGGATCTTGCATCTCACCACGCTCGCACGCTACGGAGAAGTTCCTCTTTGTAACCTGGAGCGAGAAGATCCACGCTTCCTCATTGATATCGCATATGCCAGAAGATTGCAGAACAACAATGTCGTGCTCTGGTGGTCCGCAAGTCCCCGTCCAGATCATGCCGGCCACGAGAAGGATGACATCATCGGCCCTCTCGAAACTGTCCAGATGCCCTCGATCAACAACCCTGGCACGTTCTCCTCGGTCTGTATCGACTTGGAGGTCAGAAACCTGGCCATCAATACCATACTTACATCATCTCTGATCAATGAGCTGGAAGGCTCCGAGTCTATCTCGTTCAACCCCGCCGGAGATGGTAACGCGGCCGGCGATGAAGTGATCTCGTCAGAAGGCACGTTTGCCAACGCTGGTGTCCTCGTGCTCCGAGAGATGGTAAAGAGTTGGTGGCAGGAGGCCTGCAAGGGTAATACCATGGCTGATGTCATGGTTCAGCACCTGGTGCGTTGGGTCGAGAATCCTGATTCCTTCTTGTATGACCGTGCTCTGCACTACTACGTGCAGATGATGTCCAAGAAGGCCTTCCAACAGCTCATGGCCGACTTCCGCCGAGTCGGCTCCCAGGTCATCTTTGCCAACTCGAACCGCCTTTTACTCCAGACGACCAAGGCCGAGGTCGGAACTGCCTATGCGTACAGTCAGTACATCATCAAGTCGATCAAGAGCAAGCCCCTCTTCCACTTCATCGATCTTGAGATCAAGGAATACTGGGACTACCTGGTATGGTACGACGAGTTCAACTATGGCGGTAAAGCCTGTCAGGAGGTGGTGGAGGCAGAGCAACAAACCCTCGACACCGTCATGCATTGGCAGATGGCAACATTCCTCCCGATCCGCCTACAGCCAAACTTCCAGGACTGGGTCATTGAGTTCATCCAACTTATGCACAACCTCAAGCGGCCTCAAGACGGGGACTTCTCCTCGACGCCACGTCTCACGCAGCTACCTCAAAAGGCCCTCGCGGAGGGCGCCCAGGGACAAATCATCATTGGAAAAGCCTTTGAGAAGCCACTGAAGAAGGACATTGCCAACCTCGTCAACCTGCAAAAGCGCGAGCTTCTCCACCCGGAACTCGCAGAAGACTACTCCTTCCCCAAGCTCCCCGGCTCGCACCTCGCCCACCTCTCCTCGCGCAACGCCGTCCTCGAGCTTGTGAAGTCTTTGATGCAGGTCCTCTCCCTCGACAAGAACATCACCCTCGAAGCGCGCCTCCTGCGCAAGGAGCTCCTCGCCATGTTTGACGTGCGCGAGTTCAGCAAGGAAGGCGCCTTCCAGAATCCGAGCGAGAGTCTGAAGGTGATCCAGCTGAGCTGTGACAGCTGCACCATGGCGCGCGATCTCGATTTCTGCCGCGACGAGGACCTCTTGCCGGAACTGGGTCCCGATGGGCAGCGGCTGGGACCGGAGACACGGCCTTGGCGATGTACGTTTTGCGAGGCCGAGTATGATCGGAATGCGATTGAGGAGACGCTCCTGGCGAGCGTGGAGGCGTTTGTGGTGGAGTGGACCACGCAGGATCTCAAGTGCGGCAAGTGTGGTGCGTTACGGATGAATGAGTTTATGGAGCATTGTACGTGTAGCGGGACGTGGGTTGAGAGTGTCAAGAGGGCGGATATTGTGAGGCGGTTGGGTGTGTATTGGAGTGTGGCCAAGTTTTATGGGTTGAGGATGTTGTTGGAGGTTACGGAGGGGTTGAGGAAGGGTCTTTGAGAGAGGGCCGTAGAGGGAAGGGTGTGAGAGGGAAGGAATTGACGTGATTATGGCGCGTTGGGTTGCATTTGATGGCGTTATTGGATGTGGATTTAGGTATGGGAGGGATGGTATGCTAGGTAGCCCTCTTGAGGAAGCATTGGAGGCTGTGGAATTACGCGCTCGAATACAAATACTTAGTCCAAGACATCGATGAGGCCTTTGTGACTTTTGGCCTTTACCAAAGTTTCTACTGCTAATTGACTGTGACGCTTGAAATGAGGATAATTCGACTCCAGATCCCGATCAAATCGAGGCAGCATGGATACTCAATCTCCCATCTACTCAACGCAGCCATGGCTGTCTAAGACCCCTTCTTCATGAACGACGAACGCGTGCTTCGGGTCATGAACGTTGTTCTTGTAGGACACGCACTTAAAGCAAACACCATGGTTCTTATAACAACTGTCGTCATCGCAACGGAAGAAAGCACCCCCAATCCGCTGATTTGTCGTCTGGATTAGCTCATACACGGTGAGTGGTTCATGCCCATGTTGGCATTGGGAAACTTACAGTATTGCAGCCATCGCAAGACCATCTTCCAGCGTTTTTGGAACCCACTTTGGGTAATTCGACTTGGACTTAATTCTCCTCCATCAAATCCCTGATCGAGGCTACAACAGCATCAGGCGCACCCTGGTATCCCGCGATTTCCAGTACGTTCCATGTACCTCCCTTACCGTCGGGCATACGTTCTGCCAGACCACAACATCCGTTGCGAGCTAGGAACTTGATGACTTCAGTCTTCTCTTGCTACTGTTGCAGATAATCTTCTTGTTCTCCAAGACCTTCGATACAAGCCATTTGCGCTGCCCAGTGAATTGCCGACCACCCATCGAGGTTACGGTAATCGATTAAGTTCGGATCCAGGTCAACAAGTCTTTCAACAAGCCTCAGGTGTCCTGACTGTGCTGCGCAGTGCAGAATCGTCCGTAACATTCTGTCCTTTCTCCCTAGCGAGGCCAGTGGGTTGACCGCGCCGTAATAAGTTAGTAGCTTGTCGAGCTTCTCGAGGGCGTCGTCCTTCCTGGAACAAATATTGAACCATGCCGGTTGTCCGTTGCCGTCTGTGGTGTTGTAAATCCCACCCTTTCCAAGCAGGTATCTTATGAGTGATTCGTCGCCGGACCGAAATGCCTCTTCCAAGGCACTGCGGAAGTAGCCTCCTGGGCCGTTGATGTCAATCTCCTGCTGCTCAATAAGATACTTTGCAACTGATAAGTTGCTCTTGTTGATACTCTTGCACGCCGCCTCGAGAAGCGTGCCCTGCATCCCGTGCCAGAGACCTGCATCACCACCTAGCTTAAAGATCAATTCCACTTCATCTAATCCACCGAGCCTGCAACACTTTTGCACGCTGGATTCCAACCTATTTGTGCCCGTGTCGTTGACTAGAGCGCCTCTAGAAACGAGGTATCTGCACATCTCTTCACGGTACTGCTCTACAGCATGGAATACGCCCTCTATCAGAACGGTATAACCCCCAATGTCGGTAGTTTCCAGATTGACACCGGCGTTCATCAAACACCGGACAATACTTTCATCTCCACTGACTACAGTGTGAAAGAGAGGCGTCTAGCTACCAACATCTTTAGTTTCGATGTCGGCACCGTATTCAAGCAAAACTGCGAGCGTATCGTTGTTGCGTACGATGTGAAGCGGTGATCAACTAGAAACTGGGACTCGATGTTTGACGTTAGCCCCATTCTCTAAGAACAGCCTCACAATCTCCGTGTGCGAGTACAGACACACAACAGCTAGAGCAGTATACCCCCTTGTACCAGCCTTTTCTTTTTCGATATCCGAGGATGGCGTGAACTCGATGTCCGGGTTGCCGTGCTTCAACAACAACCTGACACATTCAGTCTTGCCGAACGTCGCTGAGAGGAAAAGGGCTGTACATTGGGTGTCGCCGAACTGAGCCACCCGATGATAGTCGGGGGGCGGCCACGCCTTCGTAACTAAATGTGCCATGACGGCCGGATAATTATAAGCACCCTCCAACGGAGACCAGTTTCGTAATCTTGAAGTAATAGTCACGTCGGCTCCTTTGCCCAACAGATATTCGACGATGTCCGGTCTTGATTGAAGTGCCGCTCCATACAGCGGCGTTAGCCCCTTGACTTTGGTTCGAACGTTGATATACCCGCCCCGTTCAACGAGGAACTTCACCATGGATGGAGTGCTCTCTTTCGCGGCCGAGTGTAGAGGCGGCTCGCCCGAGTACTCCTGGGCATTGATGTTGACACCATAATCCAAGAACACTTGTGCTAACTCCGTGTTACCTTGCATCACGGCGTCACTCAAATACTGCTCCTGACGCTCGTCTCCGATCTCAACTCCCGTGTCTAGAAGGAAGAGACAGATTTCCTGAGACGCTGGTTTTTGAATAGTACGACTCAAGTAATCCATAAGGACTTGCTTGTCTGGTGTAACATCAGCGTGCCCAAGGAGTACTCGTATAACTTCGAGTGATGAGTGATCATTTGCCAAAGAGAGACTCTCTTTGAGGCCTACAGTCAAGAAGTACTCCATCTGATCACTTTTCAAAAACAGGCTTGCAAGCCGCTTACAGAAGAGTATGATTGCCCGAGTAAACAAGCGCTCGCAAAGATCGGGACTAGATGTCTAATCTCAACCAGCTCATGAGTGGGAGGACGTCCCGACAATCACAGATGAGGCTTGCAGCAAATAAGATGTCCGCCTTTTTACCTTCGCTGATGTGAGGCTCTGCACGCCGCGATAACATTTTCGTGGCATCTGATTTCGGGATATAAATGGCTCTCAGTAGCATTGGAGTGGACGGAACTTTGCGCTTCGTGGATGGAGCGAGTTTGAGGGACTGCCTGCACTTGAACATCTGTAAAGAGTGTATATCTACTAATCGATCGAGGGAAGTCGCATAAGAAAGAACATTGAAAGCTTCTTGAGGCGCATGAGACAGCCAAGGCGACGACTGACGAAGATGGGATAGACGAACAAGGATTCAACTAGCACTCAAGCGCAAGTGCAAATGCAGTTGTACAGATAGTCAACGCTGGCCCAAGCACATGAGCAGTTCGAAAACTCCAAGCTTCTGCCGGCTATTTAAATCGTTGATAGGGGCAGAGTTACACAAACAGGCGTACCTGGGTCCGATTGTGTCGCGGGTTCTACCACAGAATCTGTAGAACAGCCATGGTTCAAGTACGTTGAGGAGTTTGTTTCAATTATCCCAACGCCGGAGGAGCTGCCAGACTATGGCTTCAGGGACCCTCACTTGCGTCGAGTTAGGGTTGCACTGATCGATGACGGAGTTGATCTCTTCAGCAAAAGCATGCATTGTCTAGAGTCGCGCTTCTTAGAAGGTCGAAGCTTCGACCAGACGCCTGATGGACCGAACCCGGTCTATGCGTCTGTCAGCGGCCGTGGAACCTTCATGTCCAAAACAGTTCTTCGCATTTGTCCTTTCGCGGACATCATACCTTATCGTTTGAAGACTGTCCGAGACGCATTGAGCAATCGGCGAGTACCTGATGCGAGTAGCGCAACCAGTGTAAGCATGCTTCCATGTTACAAAGCTCACTTCACACGAGTTTCTGTCATTGAGCTTTGTGATCGAAGCCATTCTCCCAACAGCCAAACAAGCTGAGCCTCTGACTAACTTACGCAGGCTATAAAAGCGGCCATAGAGCAAGACGTCGACATCATCAGCATGTCTTGGACCATCCGTGACGACAATAACAAGATTCCAGAGGCCACACTGACGGAGCTGCGCAATATCGTAAGCGCATGTGAGGGCACCGGCAGCCAACGCCATCGCACACCAATCATGTTCTGCGCAGCGAGCGACGATGGAATTCAAAGACGCGGCCAGAACGGTAGAGGATAGTTTCCGCGAGAAATCAACAACGCCAAAGTGCTATGCATTGGTGCTGCTGATCCTCACGGGCAGGTCTGGCCAGAAGTCACAGACCCAAATGGGCTGGATTACCTGTTCCCAGGTGTGGATATCAAGGACGTTTTTGAAGATGGCGGCCATGAATCAGACTCCATATTAGAGGCTTTGGGCTTTCAATTCAGCGATCTCGTTACTAGGAATGGATGAATAGGCTCGTCATTGGCTACTGCTCTCGCAGCTGGCCTCGCCGTGCTTCTTATCCACTGCACCAAGCCGAGACACTACTATGTTAATGGATGGAAAGGCCCCGAGGCTCGCCGCAAAGAGACTATTACACAGCAATTCGTCGATCAGATCGCAACTAGCGAAGGCATGCAAAATGCTCTGGATAACCTGAGTTCTGGCAGTCGGAGTGGGGCAAAGTATGCGAATCCAAGCAGGGATTTCGCGTGTGCTCTCCAGGATCTGAGGCAGTATGATGTGCAAGGCGGAGCAGCGAACAATTTGCCTCAATCTCTAAAACCTATCGCAACTCTGTGTCGAAACCTATGTAGGATATGGAGGCTGACCCATAGTTGGCTCGAAGATCTTTAGACTACCTTAGTAGGCATGTCGTTGATGCAAAGATGGTATTGATACATGAAATTCAGGTCGTTCAGTCTAGCTCATTTGACACGAACACTGTATCCACGTAATTTAGATGACAGTCGTTTCTAAACCATTTCACATTCCTCTGTTCATACTCTTGAACTTGCCTAGCTTTGGAGGAGACTGTTTAGGCGTCCCTAACGGTGAACCTTAAGTTAAGAGTCTCAACTTCCGGGTCTGCTCTAAAACTGAAGCCGCGCGCGCCTCCCCAAACCGTCACCTCCGTGATCACCTTCCGACCAAACGTCGCCTTGTGCTGAATGAGAAACAAGGCCGGAGCCGCGCCGTGCGTGCTTCCCAGGATGGCTTGTCCCGGCCGGGAGTCCATAGAGAACGTCGCTCTCTGGCCCCAACCCGGCACACTGCGGTACCCGCCGTCATACAGAGCCTGTACGATGAGCCTAAAGCTGGGGACGTAGGTGATGTGAGACTGGAAGATGAGGTTGATGTTGGTAGGACGAACACGCTTCGCTGCGCAAGCATCGAGCCATTGGAAATATGCGAGGTCGGAGAGCTGTTCAAGTTCCGGGACGTCGCCGGCGCCGCTTTCAGCTATTTGATACCGAGGGCTGAAATCTCTATCAAATATAATTGCACCCGAGCGGGGATTAAAAACGTTTTGATAAGAGGCTTGCGATGGCTGGAAGAGAGCAATCAGTAAAGCATTCATGACCTTAAATGCCCAAACAGGGAATTTATAGGAGTCCAGTCTTATAACGTACCTCTCCCCACGATCCATCCCGGAGTGTAAAGTCATTTGCATGCAGGAATGTGGACAACCCGTTTTCCATCGGGTTTACTGGGTGACTCGGGTCCGCAAAGACATCGTCCATGAGGTTCCCGAAACCAGGCGAGGTCTCGAATTGGTCAAAGTCGTCACCGTCAGTGAATTCGTCGCCGCCGTTAGTGTTGAACGGCGCCCAGTTGATTTCGCGCGTCCACCCCCATTGCTCGACTGCGGCCTGATTCTGCCACGGGCTCGCGACGCTGACCCCGCGATTATGGCGCGTCGCAGCCGCGTCGCTCAGCGGCATGAGCGTGCGAAGGTAGACACCTTTTTGAACACGGCCATTGTAGTCATTGGCAAAGTTGGGGAACTGGCCCACGACTCGCTTGGCGAGCGGTTCATCGTCAGGATAGGGAAGAGTGTCCGGTTTCGTGACTGGTGTTGGGGATGCGCCAACGAGGGCTGCTTGTAGGACTACCCATGATAACAGGAGGCGAAGACAGCCTGCCCCGAAGGAGTGTGACGTGCTTGACATTGTGTAAAATAAGCTCTGGTAGCTTTCAAAGACACAATAAGCAAGTAGGGAGGAAAAATTTCGACGAGAAGAAGACGGGTGTAAGTCGAACGTCGTTCAGATAATAACTTAAAGAGGTGCCAGACTCAGTTCTGTTTTCCGGCACATTCAGATTGTATGAGTACATTGCGGAAATGGCCATTGGCTTTAAGTTTTCCTAGCGTCCAGTATTATTTGGAGCGCCTCATTTCTTCAGCGTCAGCTGTCGCCTCGTTCCTGGGCGTGCTCGGCGTCAACGTGAGAATGTCATAAGACGGAGTTGCCTAGGCACCTCGTACTCATAGCAAGAACTGCTTATTTTGTGTGGTACAAATCCACAAAGAAAACTTACAATAAACAACACCCCCACTCGTAGAGGAAATTCGGTGAATCGGCGTGTATACCTGGGAAGTGTTTCAGCTAGCTCTCGCAGGCTAGATGAACACAAAGACTGTCGATATTGCGGAAGGCAGACAAGCATGTAATTGTGCAAGTTGCGCAGGCCATAGTCTGATTCTCGTTATTTTATTCGCCATGACCGGGAAGCTTCTTGCCGCACTGGCCACCGTGCCGTGCCGTGCGGCGGCGGCGATGCCGTCTAATTAAACTCAAATGGACAGCAACGAAGGAATCGAAACGGATCGGACAAGACTAATCGCAATCCTCAACTGATTTCCCGGATCAACATGGCTACTATGATCTCTTAAGTATAGGCACCTCTCGAGATGTTGTCTGACAGAGGACTTGCCAGTGTCAGAGTATCTATCTCGGCCCAGCTTACACATTCACTGACAACATGTTCGTGAGAACTCAACAACTTCTTACGGTATGCCTACTCTTCTCTGAGGCTGCCCTATCCGCCATCCTGCCTCGTGGAGGCGATGATCCAGGTGGCCATACATGGGCCAATCACGATATGATCACGCCTTTCAAACAGGACTCTTCGCCAGGAACAGACGGCCGCCTAGAGCGCAGATTCAACCCGTTCCTCGCTGTGACGGGAGGTTGTGATCCGTATCCCGCAGTCGATGCCAGTGGAGCTCTTGGGTAAGCTTGCATTGCCATAAGCGTGTATATTAGACTCATGCCTAATATTCAATAGAGCAGGATTAAAGCCTACTGGTGGCGGAAGATCGGGCTGTGGTAATGGCGGCGCTGGCCAAGTCTACGCTCGCCATGGAAGCAGTCACGGCCGTGATGCTATCATCTACAGTTACTATTTCCCCAAGGTTCGATGGGGTAAGGGAGACAACGAAGGACACCGTCATTACTGGGCCAGCGTTGTGGTTTGGATAAACCGATGGGGTTGCAACGCCGAGAAACCCTCTTCATACCGGGTCGTTGGCATCTCATACACGGTCGATCACTTGACATGGGGTACAACAGCTGTTGGTGATCTCAAATTCAGAGCTTCGCCCACGAACCCGATCGTTCAGATCCACGATAACGCTATGGCACCGTTCCAAGATACAGACATATCTGCGGCCTCGAATCGCACTCTGATCGCGTGGAGCTCGTTACCTAGTCCGGCGAGACAAGCCTTGACTGACGTCAAATACGAAAAGACCCAAGTGCCGTTTAACGATGCCAATCTTCAAGGATCTCTTGATGGGGCTTATCAACAGTCATTCTACGACGGCTTGAAGGACGGTCAGGACTGTACTAAAGACATTCCGGACCCTGATGGTCCTGATCTGGCCCCTGGAGAGGAAGAGCCAGCTGTGATACCTTTACCCCCGGTTAATAATTAGATACATGAATAAAGTCGAACCAGGACACTCTACATATGGAATAAATAGTTGATAAACATATGTAATAGAAGAAGGTGAAATTGTGATTATTGATCACGGATGGGCGTACAGTGTAAGGTAATATCTAGTATTGTCTCGTAGACTGTGAATAGGTACAGGTTCGAGTCTTCCTGCCATTACGCTCGCAACGCAAATATCCCTCAACTCGTGCTGATCTTGGTGTGAAAATTTTCGAGAACTTGTCAAAAGCAATGACATGCACTACTAGGTTTCTTGCAGTGAGCCTAGTGCAGGTGCATTGTCAAGAGGGAATATTGAGTATTGAGTATTATGTGAACTTACGTCGTAACACATCGCTCGGTTTCTTTGTTTTCTCAATTAAAAATGGCCTTCAAGACCTTTTCCACTTGAATCTCGATTTGACAAGATCCCCGAGAGACTTCAGATCAGCCGGGGTAGAAAATCACTGATCAGCTCCGCCCACGGGCTACGGCTGGGTGGTATGCAGCCATCGCGGAGTCCCGGATCTCTCTGAACCTAAGTCCAAAACACTTGAGAGCAATCGGCATGCTGCTAGAAGCTAATTGGATACATTCACCAGGGTTCTGACATACATAGCTCAGCTCGGAGCTGTTGCCGAATGCCTGCGATGACCACGGGAGCTAAACGTTCCCACCTCGAATACGCGCGTTTCAGGGGTTATGCGCCTCCTGTCCTGCGGATCACCAGAGCCGAGGATAGGGGCTTTGTTCCATCAAAAGACGATAGGTGCAGGAGCATACTCAAGTTCTCTTCTCTAGAGCGAGGATTCTGGTTTGTAGTCATGACAGAAACATTAGATTCGAAAGCTGCTCCTGAGACCCTCAGGATGATCCGCCCACATACGCAAGAGTCACGAGCTCAAAATCTTGCGTCGAAATACTCCATACAGAACCATGATCCCGAAGCTAATCATGAAGTGAGTGGAGAAGCTCTCATTTTCGATTGGGATGGGCAGAACGACCCCGAGCATCCCTTGAACTGGTTAGATAAGAAGAAGGGCTTGAACATCGTCATCTTGTCTCTTCTCAGCGTAGTCACGTTAGTATACTCAGGCTTCGAGCTCTTAAAATCCTTTTCATGTTTGGTATTGACTTGTTCAGGCCTTTGGGGACCTCGATGTTCGCGCCTGGCATTCCCCTTATCATGAAAATATTTCACGACGATAGCTCTATCACTGCCACCTTTCTGCTCTCGATCTACGTTCTTGGATTTGCCCTTGGTCCTCTCCTTGTCGCCCCGATCAGTGAACTTTATGGCCGCAGATATCTCTACATCTTTGGGAATATCCTCTTCACAGTATTCACGATTGGGACAGCACTGAGCAATAGCATTGGGATGTTGCTTGCTTTTCGTCTTTTGATGGGTCTATCTGGCGTTGTTCCCCTCACCATTGGAAGCGGAAGCATCGCAGACATGATGCCGCCCGAAAAGCGAGGCAGGGCTGTTCCCATCTGGGCATTGGGTTCCTTGTTGGGCCCATGTGTAGGGCCGGTCGCTGGTGGTTATTTCATTCGCGCCGCTGGATGGAGGTGGGTGTTTTGGCTTATTAGCATTCTGGTTCGTCCATCTTTCTCAGCCTTACGACACATCGTTGGGACGTTTCAAGACTAACGCTGCTTCTGCAGGCAGGAACATTCATACCAGTCTCAATTCTTGGACTACGCGAAACGTAACCTCCTGCCCTACTGGAGAGCAAGGCCAGTCGTCTTCGGAAGAAGACTCGAAATCAAGACATCCGTAGCAGGCTCGAGGATCTCCTGGTCGCAACTTTCACCTTTGTCTACACAGAGCACTATGGATTTGACGAAGGCTCAAGTGGCCTCTCTTTTCTTCCCGGTGGTATTGGCATGGTCATTGGCGTGATCGGTTTCGGGCAGCTGACAGACTTGATCGTGAAGCGGACAAAGGCCAGAGGCCTGGCGCACAAGCCCGAAGACCGACTGAAACCAATCATGACTGTTCCTTGTGCGCTAGCTTTGCCATTCGGGTTGTTTCTTTACGGCTGGACGGTCCAGAATGAGATTCATTGGATTGTTCCAATATTCAGCGTCATGGTTATGTGTATCGGACTGATGGGCACAATGGCAAGTCTGAAACGGTTTGATACCTCTAATAAACATTTGCTGACAACATGATAGACCTGTATCCAAAACTATCTCATTGATGCCTATCCACAATTTGCCGCGTCTGTGACAGCGGCACCAACAATTTTGAGGTCGCTTCTGGGTGCCTTATAACCCTTGTCCGGGTTGGAAAGTATGAGTCCTTGGGCCTTGGCTGGGGGAACAGCTCATTGGGGTTCATTGCACTGAGTCTTGTTCCAATCTTGGTGTCATTTTATGTCTTTGGAGAGCGGATCCGTGGCAAATTCAACCCCAAGTTGTGAATAGTTCAATCATTTGTTCAAAACCATCCTGGTCAGAGCCCAAGCGATCTGAAGGACTAAGGATTAAGAGGTTCATAGATTGATCGGTCATCACATCTCTGATGCTATTTTGTTTTCGGTGTTTTGAGTCGAGTTAAAAACATTCTCGGATGGCCTGAAGGTGTTTTCATACGATTTCTGTCTATGATGTCTCTTATATTTTGAATATACTTTCTTTCTCACATCATCAGACATGAAGATTTACTTCCGTTCCCGACGATGCACTGTACGAAACATCCTGGAATTCTTCTGGCCACAATAGCCAGGGCTGCCACATTGACCCCAGATGGGCACTGATGGCATGAAGAAGATGCGGCCCACCCTCTCCGATCTGCCAAAAGCTCTTGCCAAAGTGCAGGAACATGCTGTATCGTGCCAACACCACCAGAGCCTCCGGGATCTGGCGCTCCAGAAGGGAAATGTAATGATCCGGTACCATTATCGACCAGGTAAACATCAGCCGAGCTTTACGGACCGCGCCGAAATATTTCCTTTTCGGGAAGTGTAGATCGACTTTCGCAGATACGTGTATTTAGCCCACCAATCTTGAGATCCGTTAGGTGGACGATCGGTATTTGCTATTTGGTGAAGGCGACTTGAAAGACGGGAGAAACCTTGGGCCTGGCTCAATGCCTTGGAATTAGTGCACCCATGTGAATGCTTGCAATGCTTAGATTCAATCTCTATTAAACTGACTTCCTGTCAGTCGACATCTTTCTTTGTTCGATCTCAATCTCTGCTCAACATACCTTGCCTCTTACATTCAGAGTCGCCAAGGACGCTGAGATGCGCTCACCTTTCTTTCCCGTACTATATTGCGTCGGCTTCGGTTACGCCGCGGCTAATACATCTGGTAAGCTGATGACTGGCATTCAAGACAGCCAATAATTAGAGGTTGCAGCTGACAACGATAAACGTGACTGGAACACCTCTGTTTCGAAGGCCAACGCGATTCTAGCAGAACTAACTCTCGAAGAGAAGACAGCAGTCGTCACGGACGCGAACCCGCTGACTGGCCTTGGATGCATCGGTAGCATTGGTGCAATCCCTCGGCTCAACTTCTCTAGCATCTGTTACTCTGATGGTTCGTCTGGTGTGAATCGCGCCGATCTTACCAGTGTGTTTCCAGCTGGCTTGACGGCTGCTGCAACTTGGGATGCGGACTTGATGTATCGTCGTGCGGTGGCTATTGGCGAAGAATTTCGGGCAAAGGGCATGCATGCTTGTTTGGGATAAGTCCTATCATTCTCATAGGAGCAAAACTTCCCGTGCTAACATCACGGTTGAAGTCTCGTGGCTGGACCCCTTGACCGTCATCCGCTTGGAGGTCGTGTCTGGGAGGGGTTTTCTCCTGATCCGTACCTCACTGGCATCGCGATGGATCGCTCTATTCGAGGCCTCCAAAGCGTGGGCGTTCAGGCAATCACGAAACACTTCATTGGCAATGAATAAGGGACGCAACGCACTAATGTCATCCTTCCCGATGGATCCAACATCGACGCTGTATCTACCAACATGGACGACCGTACCCTTCACGAGCTTTACTTCTAGCCTTTTATGGATGCTATCAACGCGAAGCCTGCCGCAGTCATGTGTAGTTACAATCGTTTCAACGAGACATATACTTGCGAGCTTTCCAAGCTGTTGACTGGTATTTTGCGGGATGAACTCGGCTTTGAGGGATACACCATATCTGACTGGTATGCCACACATTCGACGGCGGCCTCTATCAATGCTGGTCTGGACATGGAAATGCCGGCCACAACGGTACCTGGGCAAGGTACTTCTTGGTTCGGAGACCATGTCAAAACGGCCGTTGAAGATGGCAGTGTCTCCACCAACCGCCTAGACCAGATGGTCCGTCGTATCTTGACTCAGTACTATCTTCTGGGTCAAGATGATAGCGGCTTCCCGAGCCTGGATCCTTCGATTCTCTCCGTCATCGCAGCCCAGTATCAACAAAACTTGGGAGATATCGTCAGCCACCCCCCTACCAGAGATGTACGTGGTGATCACGCCAAGCTCATCCGAAAAATCAGGGCCGCTGGTGCTGTCTTGCTCAGAAACAACAACACGCTGCCTCTTAAGACTCCAATGAACATTGGAGTCTTTGGGAATGATGCTGCCGACTTGACGGACGGCCTGGTCTACCAAGATCCGCCTGCAACGAACGTCGAGTTTGAGTACGGAACCTTGGATATTGGCGGTGGCTCCAGCAGCGTTCGCCATACGTATGTGGTCACATCCTTGGACGCAATAAAGGAGCGAGCCAGAGCAGCGGTGCTCGCGTACAGTACATTCTCAACAATGGAAGTCTTGCTGCTGGGGACTTCCATAGCCTTTATCCCGTGCCCGATGTATGCATTGTCTTTCTCAAGACTTTTGCCGCAGAGGGATTTGACCGTGTCTCTTTTGAGGCCAGTTGGAACTCTACAGCAGTGGTCACGCAGGTTGCGAATATGTGCAACAACACCGTAGTGGTCACTCACTCTGTTGGTGTCAACACTATGCCATGGGCTAGCCACCCCAATGTTCGCGCCATTGTCGCCGCCCATCTGCCTGGCGAACAAACCGGCAACTCCACCGCGGGCATCCTCTGGGCGACGTCAACCCGTCTGGCAGACTACCTTACACCATCCCGAAGACCGAAGCGGACTACAATATCCCCGTCACGAACCTCACCAGCGATGAGGTGACTTCTCCTGGCGTGTGGCAGGCCAACTTCACTGAGGGTCTAAACATCGATTATCGTCACTTCGACGCTGAAGGAGTCGAACCTCTCTATGAGTTTGGATTCGGTATCAGCTACACAACTTTTGAGCTGGCAATGAGGCTTCCTTACCTCTGAGCGACCTCTTCATCCCCGTGGCGAACGTAACAATCCGAGTGACTAACACCGGTGACCGAAGCGGCGCAACCGTTATTCAGCTCTACATGTCACTGCCCACTAATTCAGCTCCCTCTAGTACGCCCATCAAGGTCCTTCGAGGTTTCTCAAAGGTTGAGCTGGGCCCAGGCGAGACCCGCCAGGTTGCTTTCGAGTTGAAGCGCCGAGACTTCAGCTACTGGGACACTGATATATAGACTTGGCGCGTTCCCGCGGGACAATTCCAGCTCGACGTGGGTTTCAGTTCAAGGAACCTTGAGAAATCGGTCAAATTTTCGATGCTGTGAAGGGTACTGAATATCCTGTTTTGGAAATACTAGCCTAGATTCCACTCAAAGCAAGGATAGCTTTCTTTGAAGGCATATTCCAAAAAGCGTTCTCTTCTTGCATGTACCATTAATAGACCCTATTTACACTGGTTGCATTAGCAAGTTCAACTATATTCCTTGATCATCAGGGAACTTAACTGTTGAAACGAGATCACTCGACTTTTGCATCGAATGTTCGCTGTTGGACGGGATCCAACCGGGATTACGGCGTTTCTTCCAGCCAACATAATTGTCACGAGCTATGGCACGCAGCAATGGGCATATGAAGTGGGTTAAAGTGGCTTGAAGTAACCCATCTAGAATGAGCACATGGGAGCAGTCTATATACTAAGTGACAGTGATATCCACGTGAGAAAGCACGTGGAAAGGTGCTTGACAAGTGCTGATACCATTCCTGTTTCGTGGCAATAATCAATGACAGCAGCCCGGCGGCGCCAAGGGTAGTATATTTGCCATTGCCAGTTCGCGTATCCAATCGACAGGCCACGATAACCCTGCCGTATGCATGGTATGTTGGTGACCGTTTACCAAACCAACGAGAAATTTGTTCGGTCGATACACCAACAAAGACATTTCTGCCGACCCATCGTGCCGTTTGTAGTTCCTATACAAAACCAGGCTCAATCTCTCAGAAATATTTGCGCTCTTTCTGTTACTTTGCTTGTTCCTCGCGATCTTTTACATCCATTTAGCAACGTTGAAAGCTCCGATACTAGTCTGTGGCCCAGGTCAAGTACATTGAATCTACGATGTTATCTGTACATATTGGTGTTGTTGAACATGGCCATTCGCTATTTCTCGTATGTCGGGTTCTATTCCTTGCTGGAGCACTGGCATACTGCGTCAGATACTATGCGCGAGGCCGGAAAGTTAAGCGGGAAGAAGAAGCTATCTCGGCCAAATACGGCTGCAAACCGGTCCAAGCGACTCTACCATACAAGCGGCCTTTCGCGCTGGACCTTCTTAAGCGTCAATACGATGCTTCTCCCAGCGGTCGTCTGCTGAGTTTCAGACGCGATACATGAATATCGCGCCGACTCTGCGGATTGACATCTTTGGAGAGGGCTACATCATCACCGATCCCGTCAACATCGAAACCATCTTGAGCACTCGTTTCGAGGACTTTGGCCTAGATTCTCGTCGACTGAGGCTGATGCCCCTACCAGGTGAAGGCATCTTTACGTAAGATGGACCTGCTTGGCGCCACTCTCGGGAGTTGTTGCGCCGCCGATTCTCACGCATCAGAGACTCAGATTTGACGGCATTCGGAGAGCACACGGACATGCTTCTACTTGCTCTAGAGCACGAATCACAGAAGTCAGCCGCTGTTGATTTACAGCCTCATTTTTTTGAGTACACTCTAGGCACCACCACGCATCTTCTATTTGGTGAGCCACATCATAACCTTCCCAAGAAGGGAAGGCTAGCTCTCCGTCACAACTTCGACTATGCAACCTTGATCTCAGCTATCCGACTCCATCTTTCCGATCTCTCCTATCTCTGCTCGCCCAAAAATTTTCAAGAAGCTTGCAAAGTTGTCCGGGACTGGGCTACTTTCTTTTCTGATAAAGCACTGGACTTCATGGAGGAACATGGCGAGGAAGCCGCCAAATCCTCTTTCATCGTAAACCTCTGGCGCGATACGTATGACCGAAAATTTGCTCGGGATCAGTTATTACACTTCCTCATAGCCGGCAGAGACACGACAGCCTGTCTGCTTGGCTGGACATTGTAGGTTTCCACGTAGACCTTCGACATGTCATTGACTTGTGACCGGTATGCTAAACAACTAAAAGTTTCCAGCTCGTCCGTAACCCAGAGTTAATTGAACGACTGAAGTCTGAGATGGCCAGCGCAGCGATCCCCGATAACGGCGTTCTTACAGGGAAGCACATCCAAGAACTTCCCTTCCTAAGGTGTTGCCTCAATGAGATTACGTCATGGCCGATCTATTCTACCATAACAACTCAGTTGACTAAAAGTGACTTAGCACTCCATCTATACCCGTAGCTTCCTGTAATTTCCGCATTGCGTTTCGAACGACTGTATTGCCCCGCGGTGTTGGGCCCGATGGCGAATCCCCTGTTCTGATTCGGAACAGTGTTGGCCACGGATGGTCTACATATCATCTCCACCGGCACGAAGCTATATACGGTACTGACGCTAGCATTTACCGACCAAGTCTATGGGAAGACGGTGACTTGATTCGCAAAGCCGGGCTTGGTGGATTCTTGGATTTCCATGGTGGACCACGTGTTTGTCTCGGCAGTGAGTGTTTTACCTTTGAATTTGCGAGCTGTGTTGACGTCACTAGCAGAGGATTACGCAATTATGGAGGCGAGCTATGCAATTGTCAGAATGTTGCAAAAGTTCCCTGGTATTCGACTTCCCCCCGGTGTGCCTAATGAGCCTGTAGGTATGAAGAGGCAACATTTGGGTATTGTCTTGACCAGCGCGGAGGGAGCTCAAGTTTTATTAGAGTAGGGTTATTATCAGTGCGGCCCTGGCAGTTACCAAAGGATTTCGACACTTTTGGTGAGACTGTCTAAGTCATTGAAATCCAAACATGGACGTACAAACCCAATCGTCGTGCAAGGGGGGCCAGCCATAATTTGAACTAGAATTCTCGACTGGATCAGGCAGAAAATCGAAGATGATGCCTTGTCTTAATTTCAGAACCACGTTTGCAGTAGAAATTTTTGTCTCCTGCTGGGTCAATTTCCTCGTGGTCGCACAACGTTCCCGTAGAAGATCATGTGGCTTGGCAGTCAATTTCAAAGCCTTTATGTTCCCCTTTGACTGCCGGCGCCAAAGCGCCTACTTCAAATAGTCACAAGCTTAAAACCACAGAGGTTCCCTCTGTATCGTTTTCATTTGTTCATGCCGTATCCTACAAGTTTTGTGGCCGACTTTTGCAACAATGGGCGGGTACCTTTCCAAAGCGCCCTACTCGTATCAAAACTGCGGTGTAGTTATCGACGCAGCCAATGTCCTAGACTTTCAGTATGATGATCCGGTGAACAATGGCCCTACTATGTGCCAGAACACATGTAATGCTACTTCGCGTGCTGCGTCTCTCTTGTTCAATACGAAGTGCTACTGCTCCAAAGACGGTATCACCAAGATCGAGTTTGCCGCTAATCCTCCACCCAACTATGCACTTTGCACCATCAGATGTGGGGAAACAGTGCCATTGCCAACTGGGTCTCTCCCTCTCAGTTGTGGTGGATATTACAACGGAGCCCCGGTATACAATGTCTATGCCACTACAACAGTGAGGACGGCAACGATTGCGAGTAGCACCTCATCTAGTGCATTGCCAACCTCTACGACGTCTTCTGCATCCTCTCCGATCGTCACAACAACCTCTCAGGCATCGTTTGGCACAACTTTCACGTCTGCAAGCTCTTCGACTTCCTCCACAGCAACATCTTCAACCTCCTCATCCATATCATCAGCGACCTCAAATTCTTCTTCCTCGACGGCATCTTCGGCCTCGGATCCTTCTTCCTCGACATCATCTTCAACCTTCCCCTCCACGTCATCGTCATCCTCGGATCCTTCTTCCTCGGTATTGTCTTCGAACATCCCCTCCACGTCATCGTTATCCTCCGACTTCCCTTTCTCAATACCATCTTCGACCTTCTCATCAACGTCATCGTCCTTTGATTCTCCATCCTCGACATCGTCTTCAAGCTTCTCCTCCACGTCATCTTCCTCTCCGAGTTCTAGTGACGGTCAAATCAAACTCACTACAACTTCCTCTTCGTTAAGAAACAGCATCGCAACGCCCACTGATAGCCCCATCAGTGCCGACAGTAGGGCGATTAGCCCGCCTGCATCTAGTCTGACGTTGACCAGCACACTCTTGACGACAAGTGGAATGACTTCCATTAGCTCAACTTCAACCACCAGTCCTACAGCCAGTCCGTCCTCTGTAATGGCTCTTAGTGGTTCGAAGAGCAGTGATCTGAGGAGCAGTGGCACAACAACCACAACTTTATCGGACACGTTGAAGGATGGGCTCTCTCCATCCCCCACAGCCATCACCACGAGCAATCCCCCTTTCTCCAACACTACGATCTCTGCCACTCGAACTTCCGTTTCCCCTTTGACTAGTAGTGGAGACAATTCGTTCTCACCTACCACCACTATTCTTATCAGCATCGGTGTCACAGTCTCGCCTTCTGTGATCGGAGTTCCCTTCCACTTGGAAGTTGTGCCGTTCATCAGCCTTCCTAGCACGTAGGCTTCGTACTTAATCAGAGATTGAAGAGAGTTGGCTTTGATTTCTTGTCCTACAACATATCTGGGCCTGACTCTGGTTGTGTTACCATTCTGAAAATACTCAATATGCTTGAGACTTTGTATGTAGAGTAAGGTTGATCATTTCGTATAGCATCGTGGCATTCAGCATCATTGATTGCACAGCGCTCATGACTGGTGTCTCACTTTCTCTCATTATTTTTGAAAACTGTTTGACATACAGTTCTATTTCTTACGAAATATATAATTAATACTTATAATATCCAAAGAACAAGAAGGTACGCCTTCTCAACTGGCTTAAGTCTAGGTAGAAGTCGGTGAATTCCGGTATTCAGCTCGTAGTAAGGTAGAAAACTCGCTCGATATCTTAAGTATAGGGGTAAGGGTCTTGTCCACATAGGTACCTGGAGCGTAAATGCGGGGATGTTTTTTGAGACTACCATGGATACTCAAGTTAACAATGACAGGGCTGAACGCTATGTACGCCCCTACCCTTACTAGCCATGACCATGGGCTTTTCCTAAACAACAAAGCAAAGCAAGCCTCATGGGTGACTTTATCCTGAGTGTCAGCTTTTTTTCACTATCCAATAAAAATTGAATTCTTATGCAGCTATCAACTTTTGCCTACATTCAGGGACTTATACGATCGCACCAATTTGTGTGAGAGAAGTAGAGGTTATATCGAAGAATGTCAATAAAGCGGGCAAACCACTAGCATGCACGATATAAATTTCTACTAATCTCTTGTCATCTTCTGAGTCCTGTCTGATTCAAAGTATATTAGGTGAAATAACACTTCTAGACTTAAAGCATTATAATGCGAGGAAACGGAGACTATCATCTCGTAAACGCGCAACATTTCCGCCGCTCTGAGCATCACAGGCTTGCCGCTAGTATCAGACTGTGCGCCAGCTCGCGTAAGGTGGGCTTACACCATCCAGTCCTGGGACACAGGCAAATTGGTGGCGCTTTAGCTTTTTGATATGGCTGCCAAACCAAAAGCTTCAGGCTTGCCACAGCGCCACAGGACGTTCGAACCTCATTTCAAAGCGGCAATCTGAACCCTGATTTTGTGATTGTCAGGGGGTAGATCACATTGCCTTGAGGACGCTCAAACCAGACATGTTAGGTCACTTCTCAAATGGCGATCAAATGCTGAACCAGCATGGCTCTTTGGGAATATAAGAGCAAGACAATCCCAGATTTCCTGAACAACTTAGCTTGGCAATTTACACTCCTTATCACCATTTTCTATTCCCTAGCTCATAATTGCTTCTTCTTCACTCCTTTACGTTAGCTTTTCATCACATAATAGCCCCCCATGGCCACCCCAGCTCACGCCAACACCCAAAACAATGGTCCCGTTGACCACAATGACCTCAACGAGTGGAAGGACCGTTTCAATGACGTTCTCGCTCGTCCCAGTGAGCATGTCAACTCCAAGTCTCCCGAGACATCTCGGTCTTGGCAGAACGGCTTTTTCGGCTGCTTCAGCCCTATCGATGTTTGCGCTATCACTTGCTGCGTTCCTTGCGTGACATTTGGTAAAACCCATCATCGTCTTCGTAAGAACGGCAGCCTGGCTGGCTATGAGCCTGTTAATACTTCTGTCCGTCGACACCGCTTGTTACATTTATTCAACGCTAACTTGCTTTACAGTGTCTCATGTTCTGGGGCTCCACCTGTTTTGGGCTCCATTGGATTCCTCTCGCCCTTCAGCGCGCCAACCTTCGTGAGAAGCATAATCTCCAGGGCAGTTGTCTTATCGATCTTGCCACTGCTTGCTGCTGTGGCTGCTGCGATCTGATTCAACAAGAAAAGGAGGCAGAGTTCCGTGAGGCTCAGGTTGCAGTCGCAAGTAAGGGGTACGAGGCCAACGTGGCAATGAGCATCCCTGAAGAGAAAGTCTAAGAAAGGCCTCATGCATTGCGAGATATTCTGATTTTAGTTACGAGCCGATTATGTACACATCGTACTGTCATTAGGACCCCGAGAAGATTGAGTGAAGGGGTGATGACGTCTCATGTCTTTGAGACTACCACTTGAATACAATTTCTTTTTTGAGTGCCTCATTTACATCATGTGCTGTCGTTGAGAGTCTGTCCCATCAGCCCAATCAGGATTTATGTCCGAATTGACTGACTTCACGATGACTGGAGGAAGTTGAGCACCGTGAAAGATCCGCCGGCCAGGTCCTGTTCACAGATGCCAGTTAGATACCCACCTTCAGCTGTGATCCGTAACCTCGCAACGCTCATCCAAAGTGGATTAGTCTCGAGTCCATACGGAACTTAAAAGGTTCACCAACGTTGGGTTTGGAACTAGGCATGGCGATCTTAAGGGGTCTTGGCCATAAAGGACTAGACTTCAATGGGTACAGTGTGGCAAGTTAGTGATGAGTGGCTGAAGCCTAGGAGGTATCGTGCAAGCATCCAGTGAGGCCAGGTATTCCGCGCCCGCCTCAAATTGCCTGTAGCAACGGTTTGCCTAAGTTGATTTCTCAACAAAACCAACGAATCTTTTGATTCGGGAACACCTTAAAAGCGACAGAGGGTATGATCTACGGTCTGTTTCTACTCATCTTTTTGAGGTCTTGGATGATTGACTATAACGCGGATTTTAAGTAGATAAGAAAGGTGATGTGGAGACTAAATGCGTTCGGATCGTGGATAAGTGAAGATACCTTGCTCACGTAACTGCTGTACTCGGATTGGTGATTGTTGCTCAGGCAGGGGAGCAAGGTGAGTTTTAGTCCCTCCGAAATGCCCGTTGTTGCTCCGGCCCCTGCATCATCGGCCCCGGACCCGGCTTTCCTGACCACAGAGTTGCCGCAATCGCTTCCGGCGAGCGGTTCGCAGTAAGTTTCCGACCGGAATCGTTGGCGGTTCTTCCGAGGAGCCCAAGCACATACAAAGGTTCTACAATAATAATGTTCATCTGTGGGCTCATCTATGATATAAACACGTTCATCGCGAGTGCTTTCCAACGTATTTACTTACCATCGCTGATAGACTTTGAAACGATAACTACAGCATTTAACATCAAGAACTCATTTCCTAGTTTTAACTCAGTAAAAGCTTCGGTTCTCTCTTCAGATTAAACACAAAGGAGCTGGGTAGACCGACCGATTTCCTTCCACACCCGCAATAATTAGCCGACTTAGACTCCCATCTCTCCCAGCAATCCTAGCAGAAATGACTGTCTGGTTGATTAGGGGCACCACATCAGGCATCGGCGCCGCTATGATGGAGCAATTCGCCGCTCGTGACGACACAAAGTCATCGCAACCGGCCGTAACGCCAGCCAGCGATTCTCCGAGAAAAAAATCGGACAACATCTTTCCCCTCGATCTCGACATCACCGCGCCTCTCGCCGAGATCAAACACCTGACCGAGAAGCCATCCAGGCGTACGGTCACATTGACGTCGTGATCAGTAACTCTGGCTTCTCGGTCCCTTGCTCGATCGAGGAGGCAGAGTAAAGAGGATACAATTCTGGTTGGCCAATGAAATCGCTATCTGATAGCTAGTGCTGCATTTGCTGACTGGTGGAATTTCACACGTTTAGTGCAGCTTTTGAAAAGAAACTGTTTCATACCAACTTGTTTGGTGCCATGAACGTTGTCAAGGCTTTCCTTCCTCACTTTCGTGAGCGAAGGGCTGGGACGTTTGGATTCATCGGTGCCGGCCTCGGGTGGCTGTCTTATCCCCTCCTGGGGCACTACGGCATCGCAAAGGCAGGCCTTACTCGTACGTGCTCATCTTTCTTGCCTCATGAGGACATGAAGTGCCAGATTTGGACTTTTTGCGACAAAAACTAACCACAAGATGACTCTAGTCTTTGCCGAGAGCCTGCAGAAAGAAACCGCTCACCTAGGCATCAAGGTAGTCGTCTTCGAAGTTGGCGCCTTCGAAACAGGAATGGGCACAATCCGCACCGCAGACGGCGAAGGCTTCGCCAACCTCCCCACGAACCCGGACTACCGCGAGGTCGCCGAGAACGCCTTTGGCAGGTTCTTTTCCGACGTGCTCACGAACCGCCCTTCGGACACGCAGAAGTTGCCGGAGGCCGTGTGGCACGTGGTCAAGGGCGAGGGCATGGCTGTGGGCAGGCCCTTCCCGATCCGGGTGCCTCTCGGGGCGGACGCGCTGGCTATCACGAGGCAGAAGTGCGAGGAGCAGCTTCAGCTCTGCAAGGAGTGGGAGACGCCTGCGTGCAGTACTACGAAGGATGATTTTGATTATGTCATGAGTCAGGATTTGTTTGATCGGTTGTCGATTGTGAAGATGTTAGAGTGAATGCATCTCCAGTCAATCAGCTTAGAAAAGTCTTGGAGTGTCATGTGGCACTTCTGTCATTTTGAAATAAAAAAAAGAGTTCACCTCGGTAGGCTACATCTCACTGGTGCTCATTCTGGGATTCGAACTCGGGTACTCGCTAAGCCTGTCGTCGAGTAGGCTGGTTGGTGTTCGATTGTTGACCTTAGACCACTCCACCACCCAGCCAGTTTGACCTGACCCGTCGATCTAGACGGGCGCTTTCTGTTTGGTGACAGGAATGGGGTTGAAGGGGGCTATATAACTTAGCCTACGATCATAAGCCCTCACGTATTCAGTATATTCCTTCAGATATTCAGATGAATCATTTTAGAGTAATCACACAATCACGTCTGATGCCTTAGTCTCAACCTATTCATTCATGCGTTAGCACCAGCTGGCCACCCGTTATTCTGAAATTATAACTTGTGTAAATAGGTACGCCTGTAAGTAATGATGTAGCCATCTCAGGAAATCAGTCATCCATTGAAGGATAGAATCAGATTCACTAGCTCCCAAGCGGACACACCCGTCATCTCGTCGCAGCACTCTCCACATATCCAACTGGTAACCGCCGTCAGGATAAGTTATAACACAATCCCAGGCGGCTCAACTCATAAGGATGTGGTAGTAAATACTTCCAAGACCCGGCAGTGGTAAGCGGCAATCATCCCCTTCACTTCGTGGCTCGGACTAGCCCCTCAGCCCGTCTACGGGGACATGACCACCCCCCGACGCCGGTCACTCGGACTCTTGGCCCAGGCCGAGTAAGCTATATGAGTAGCTCGCACTCGACACCCTCAACTGTATGGAACATCATCTGAGAGTTTCGACTCGGATTTCTGTAACGGCATCAAAGACTTGCGGTCCACTGGCGGTCACTTGACCTTCTGGCGTCATACAACCAAGGCACAATATTTGGATCAGCACACGAATCCTCACCGACACAAGCACCGTATAAATTCCACAACTAGTTTTCAGGCATCTACACCTCATGAAACTAATACAATCTCTACCATAGCTCTCACAATGACATCAAGAAAGCTCCGTGTCGCAGTAATTGGCCCTAGAGGCCAAGCCGGAAGCTGCGTAATCGACGAGCTTCTCACACGAGGCCACGCCATTGTCGGCGTCTCCCGCAATCCCCCAAAGCAATGGAAGCATCTTACCGGCGACGGAATGTACAGTAGTACCAGCGTCGACATCTTCACTGAGCAGAAGAAGCTCATCGATATCTTCTCATCAGACTTTGACGCCATCGTGTGCGCCTTTGGACCTAGCTTGACGAATCTGGCAAGAGTATACGAGGACGGTGTCGAGGCGCATGGGAGGATTAAAACAGCGCTTTTGGCGTCGACGTATGAGGGTCCGTTTATCATTGTTGGTATGTCGTTCAAGGCAGCGGTGGGATCGTGCATGCTTCGGGTGAAGTATGTCGCTGAAAATTGAGTGTACCAGGTGGAGCGGGTTATATCCATGTAGCGAACCGTCTTCAACTTACGGACCAAAAGGACTTTGCGTACAGCTGGTGGTATATTTCCATTCGTATCACGTAATGGGTCAAAGCCAGGAACTGATGGCTTTGCTTGGATAGGTGGACTTGGCCTGATGAGCACTTGGACTACATGACCGAGCGAGGCCCGGACCACAGGAGCAGGTTCATCAGCGTCATTGCCGTCCTGATGGAATGGAGCAGAGCCCACAGCGACCGAGATGTAGGTCTCTCCGATTCTCCAATTCTCCATGATCTCACTTCCATCGATGGGATGGAAGTGCACAGAGTCGGATTGCTGAAACAGCTTCTTCGTCCCAGTCTACTCCTGGCTTCTGAGGCCAGCCACGTACCTGGTCCAACGCTGGCTCAAAAGCTGCATGACGGACAAGAAGACCATTTCTCTAATCACAATGTCTCGAATGGCCTACACGATGTGGAACGGCGTCACTGAGAAGTCGTGGTCCTTCCTCTCACCTCCAGGTCTCTTGCGTGATAAGGGTTAGTTCCCCCCTTCACACCGTCTATTCTCTTCCATCTCTCTTGCAGACTCGAGAGCTCTGAAAATGACCACGTTCTATGTGTTCGGACCGGGGAGTACAAGCTGTTCATCGACACGCCCGAAGACCCGGCGGTAGAGGCGGCGGAGAACGGGATCTACAATCAGGATATGGCAGTGGCTATCGTCGACGAGGTGGAGAACAACAAGCTTGCGTTTAAGCATTGGAGCTGGACGGGGCCGATCGGGCTGCGCAGGTGGTAATCCATAATATCATGATATCTCGTCAACTCACAAACGGGGGTCACTTGCAAATGCGATCTTTTTAACTTGGTTGCAGTGATGCCCACTCAGGCTTATTGCGAACACCGAAGGCGGGTCCCTTCTTTCCAGGACACCTGAGGTATGAACTGCCCGGCTCAGCATTCGAGCAGGAGAGACCGTGAGGCTCTTAGCCGATGAATCATCGCTACAACCGCGACAACAAGCATCTGGGCCGGATGATCGAGGGGTTGGTCGAGTGTAGAGGTACCACTTAGATAGCGAAGTCTCCTGTCTATTTCGGGACCCGAACTCGATTCCTCGATCGGTCGGCTCCTTGTTTTAGTTCTTCTCTCTCAGTCGTCGTATTATGTATTGAAATGGTTGACAAATGCAGCCTCAATGCCAAATTCGGGTCGTGAAATGGCTGTAGTGGAATTCCTTGGCGTTGCTTACGGACACTTGTGGCTGATCAACCTCGCTCACTCGCCGGCTGACGGGTTCCAACTTCAAGTCGCGACCGGCTCCGGCTTGGCCGCTGTTTCCGACGTTGCCGCCGCTCCCGGGGAGGGGATTATAATGACGGAGCCGGTGGATCCACTGGCGTCAAGACCACATACCCTTCAAGTCTGCGCTGGCAGGCAATGTGTGCTGTCAAGCTCGACTTGCTTGACTGATGACATTTGTTGCAGATAGGGGAAAGTGGGAACAGGTACGGGTGAAGTGTCTTTTTCCAAGGGAGCTCAAGAGTCCATTCGGCCGATCGCAAAATAGACGGATACGAATTGTCGAACTCTGCCAGGTCCCGTCATATACGGGACCTGGCAGAGGCAGGCGGCCCCTTGCATGAGTCCGTCAAAAGTTGCCCTCAGTTCGAGACACTCACAAACCCTTTCTCTCCATGATTGTCATGTTCTGCTGGCGGCCAGTGTCCCGATTGACAACCACACAACCTGTTTACTGTGGCCTTATCTCTGTCTTATGCAAGATGGAGCTCTGCTGAAGTCACCAGAGCTCAGAATGTTTCGCCTTAAAGATTACGTTTCTGATCGGCGGACCCGTTGTGGGTTCTCGCGTTCTTTAGAGTCTTGAATTGACGGTCGCTTAGTACTTTGTAGGGACCACGAGGGAATTGTGAACAATTGTAACTTGTGTGGTCAGAATAAGAGATTAAGTGGAAAATGGCCTTTACAAAATCAGGAGGTCGGGTGCTAAGTGGCTGATAACCTTCCCCTCGCCCTTGAGAAGTTGAGACTGTTGTCTCTCAATGTTTTATTGCCAAGGGGCAGCAAAGGAGCTTTGGTTTGTGGATCAGTCGCAGACAAAGAAAAGTTGGCGCTAGGCTAGAGCTGGAGATCAAGCTGGAGCTGGGACAGGAGCCGAAAGTATCCGTATCTGTAGGCCTCTCAGGCAGGTTCAGCGGAGTCGAGGTGGGCGTCTTCTGCCAAGACAATAAGCGGGTAAACAGGCAGAGGACAACCAAGATCCGGCTTGGCTTAAGTCGGGTGGCTGAACTTGAAAGTCGAGACGACGGTTTCGGGAACAGCTGCATCGACAAAGACAACCAATTTCGAGTCGGGAGTTGTTTGATGCCACCTTACGATCCGGGACGATGTGGCCTTCTCCTTCTGGTCGTGTATTGCCTCGTCTTGTCTTTTTAACCCGAGCTTGTCCTCCTCTCAGGGAACGGGAAATGGGGGGAAATCACGAATGGAGCGGACGACCCTTTTCCGGATACGACATTGGAGCAAGCCAGCAGCCGAGCAGCGAACCACCATTCCCTTGGGAAAATAAGGTCCATCTGGATCCGTTCCCGCCCCGCTGTTAGGGTGCGTCGGTCCCCGGCCCCTGGATTTGGTGCAGCAAGTATGCTCTTTCAAGACTTAAGGTGCGACCCGCCTCGGGAGCCAATTGTGCTGGGAACTTCTCATTTTTATCTCAGGTGAGCCGGGCGTTAGGTTGGGGGCTTGCCAGCTTGGTGCCAAGTAGTGCCCGGTCCGGGGTACAAAGAGACTGGTAGAGACAACGCGTTTTCTCGGTGGTACAGAAGATGAGGGGGCGGGCAGGCCAGAGACACCTTGTGGAATGCTGGCTGTTGAAGTCGATACCGTTGACCGATGAGCTACCCGTACAGTTCCTCAGTGTAACGTGGCAATGGCAGTAGGTTGCGGACCCGGATGCTGAGTTGGGGTTGAAACGTTTTTGATAAAGACGAGAGGCCGTCTTTAGAAATTTAGATATGGGACAATCTTGGATTCCGCGACAGCTATCCATCGTTAAGGAGAAACCGGGTCCTATAGCGATCATAGAACCTTTACCAAGGATCTACTAACAGATGAATGGCAAGTGTTAGCGTGTGGACCCAGAAACACGACCGAGAAGCGTGTTTAACCCCTGGACCAACCATTTCGTTGATCAATCCGACACAGGGAGAGCTCAGATCTTGCGTCTTGGACACGGAAGCGACAGGACACCTTCTGTGCGGTGTGTCTATGGAGGTCGAGGATGTCTGTACAACGGCACAATGGATGAACATCTAGATGATCCGTACGAGCGTCTTTTTGGTGGTGTGTAACTGGCAAATGGTAAATGATAAGTACGGAGTAACTACGTACCTAGTTGGTGACTGGTGGCCTCGTGGATCATCAGGTCTTTCCCGTCTTACCTAAGAGATCCGGGGTGCTTCCTTCCTCCCCTCTCGAGGTGCTGTAATTTTTTCGACCTTTGGCCAAGCTCCCCCGTTGTGCTCCTGCCACGTCCCACCCCCCCCCCTAAACGCCAATTTGTACATGCCACCTGCCTTACTTCGCCCTACCTACCTCACAGGCTCACCTTCCTTGCCTTTTCAATCTAGTCTCTACGTACCTTCACTTTTCTTCTTCTCCTGCCGTCTTACGTGCCTTACCAAGTGCCTACCTCACCTTCCTCACCTGCGCCGAGTTCCAATCCGTGGCTTTCCATTCTCCCCTTCTTTTCCCATTCGTTCCTCCGCTCCTTGTCCCCCGTGCTCGTCCCAGCTCCCCCGTGGCTCTGGCTCTTCTGGCTCTGGCTTTACCTTTAGCTTTTTCTTCCAACAACCACGACGACGGAAACCGAGAAATGACATCGAATTAGCATACGCACCATCCTTGCTGCTTCTCGACTTCTTTGGGCCCCAGGGTCCTCCATCCTTCGACTCGACTGTCTAGCGCTACGTGTAGTGTAGCACGCGACAGCGATATAACTTCTCCCTCTCAATCGCGCGACGAGAGCCTCGCTCCGGCGAGCCCGCAAACATGATGCCCCGCCGACGAAGCCGTTATGTGATCCTGGTCGCTGTTGTCATGGTCTTCATGCTATACCAGGTCTTCAAAAACCCTGAATGGGATTCCACAGGTCAGTCCAGTAGCATCAAGCCCAGCGAACCCGAAAAGGGCCAAAACGTCCACAAGGATTCCTCGAAGCCACCCCCGGCGGCCAAAGATCCCGCTTCCAACAAGCACCTCAACAACCAGCCGCCCCCCGATAGCGAACATCCCCATGACCAAGAGGAAGACGAGCCCGAGCAGAACCCTCAGAAGCAGACGGCCAAGCCCACTGTCAAGATTCCTCAGCTCAAGACGGAGAAGGCCAAGGCGCCCACCAACACTCTTTCTGGTCCTACTCTATCCATTCACGCCTATAATGACGAGGTCGAAGCTACCAATGCGCCCGAGGTTACGAAGGCGCCTAAAAAGCCTCTAGAGTTGGAAGAGGACCTCCATGCCAAGAAGCCTCCCGGCCGACCCAACTTTGATATCGCTGAAAGCTTGTCGACCTCGACATCGCAGATTCACTGGCACAAGGTCTCCGAACACTTCCCCGTTCCAACCAACGAGATTATCCCCCTCCCCACCGGCAAGCCCAAAGACATTCCCAAGATCCAATATGACTTCAAGCCAGAGTCGGAGGCTGCCAAGGACAAGCGCGAAAAACGCCTAGCCCTGATCAAGGCTGAAATGCTAAGATCCTGGGGCGGATACCGCAAATTCGCTTGGATGCACGATGAACTTTCGCCCGTCAGCGGCCGAAACCGCGATCCCTTCTGTGGCTGGGCTGCTACTCTCGTGGACGGCCTTGACACGCTTTGGATCATGGGCATGAAGGAAGAGTTCGCCGAGGCCGTCAAGGCTGTCAAGGAGATCGACTTTACCTATAGCCCGACGCGCCGTGACATTCCAGTCTTCGAGACCACCATCAGATACTTGGGCGGTCTTCTTGCTGCTTTCGACGTGAGCGGTGGCAAAGAGGGCGGGTACACTGTGCTGCTGGACAAGGCCGTTGAGCTCGCCGAAATCTTGATGGGCATTTTTGACACCCCTAATCGTATGCCCATCTTGTATTACAACTGGATGCCCGAGTATGCCTCCCAACCCCACCGGGCTACGACCGTTGGTGTGGCCGAGCTGGGTTCGCTGAGCATGGAGTTCACACGTTTGGCCCAATTGACCGGTAAAGACAAGTACTACGATGCCATCGCTAGAATTACCGACGCTTTTGAGGACCTCCAGAACCGTGGCACTACCATTGATGGCATCTTCCCTGAACAGCTGGACGCCTCTGGCTGCAACAGGACCGCAGAAGCCATTATTTACCAGGAGGCACAGGCTGCGGCTGCTAGTGCGAGTGCGGCCGCTGCTCGATTGAGCGAGCCCCAGGGCCATGAGCCAGTGGCTGCTGAGGCCAAGCGCGACGAGACTGACGCTACTCTGCCGCAAGAAACTGCGGCGGCCAAGGGTAACGGTAGCGAGCCGGAAAGCAATCCGCTCGCGAAGCGAGCTGTTGGTGTCGACCAGAATGGCGAGTCTGTGGTCGAGAATGCAGATATCGATAAGAAGACGGCTTCCCCAGCGCCCAAGGTCAACGAGCAGCCCTTGTACCCCGGCAACAGTGGTCGAAGACCATCCACTCCTACAACGCCAGATAAGTCTTCATGGGAGTGCATCAAACAAGGTCTCGCCCCTGGTGGTTGGGGTTACCAGCAG